GTATACATGCCTGGGTGGAAGGGAGCCAGAGAAGCCGAGCGTCGCATGTTACATACCTCACACGCAGGTATCGGTGTAACACCAGCGTTCTGTGTGGTGGTGTTGTTTCTCCTGTAAGATATTTATACACATTTTTGTTCTGAAATACATTAAATACAGTACATCAACATAATTTGTTTATAATTTTCTGAAAGTGTATTTTAAATATGTATTTACCAGTTAATATGCAAATAACTGAGTTATAGATATTCTTTCACGAAAAGGTAGTACTGTGCAGTACGGAGTGATTTTTTTCATAAAAAGTAGGTAAGACTATAAAGTTGCTTTCAGTTATATATTTATGGTACTGCTAGATGGGTAATCTCTTCTGTTGTTTTGTTTTGATTTGGTTTTTTCCCTTTTTCAACCCAGTATGTATATTATGCTGAAGTTTTGAACTGGGATTGTTTTTCAGTACTTAGCTGTGGAACTGTTGGTGTAAATTTATTTTTGATAAAGGCTGGGTGTGTTTATTTTATGGTTCAGACCTGCACATTTTGTTTTTGCACAAAAGTCATTTTAAAGAATCTGAAATATATCTGCCAAATATTGAAAAAGTAATGGTGTGCAAGTAAATACTGCATTTTTCGTCAAATGTTGCCATTACATCGTTTTTATATAAAGGACACTTGTGAGAGATGGTGGTTAGATATGCCAAGGACAATTATTTTCAATGGTGCCTACACTGTAAAAAAAATTACTTTTAACTCCTTGTTTTAATTTTAAAAAAAAATGTTTCTGTTTAAAACTTTCATCTGCTATATAACTGAAATTCAATTAGAATTTATATCTGAGAAAAAGTCTGGAAATAGTTTTTGAAAACAATAATGTTATGGATTAAATAAATATTTTTATAAATGTAAAAGCAGCAAAAGTTGTAAATACAGTTGATCTGAAGCTTTACAAAATAACTGCATCACAGAAACAAATTGTAGTGCTCTTCTAGCTTCTGTAGTTGTTAGTCTTGTAAATCTGTTTATAGATGAAGCTTATTTCAATGTTTTGGGGGGTTTAAAATGGTTTAAAAATAAATATTTAAGTTCTGTAAACTTTCATGAGCTTGTTCTGTTGCGCATCATTTTATTCTGGATTTCAGCAGCTGTGCAGAGGTGGGGACAAGGGTGTTCCTGCATGGGTGCTTTGCAAAGCTCTGGGTGCCCAGCGCTGTCCTTGGCCAGAGAACAGCTCCAGCTGCTGTGTCCCAGGGAATGGGGCGAGCACTCCCGGGGTTCAGTTTGGTTCCTTTCTGAGAGAGGAACTCCGGGATGTGTGAGCTCTGACATGGCTGGCAGTGCAGCTCTGTCACAGCTCTGTCACAGCTCTGTCACAGCTCTGTCACAGCTCTCCCTGCCTTTGGCCTCGGCCTGGGGCATGAAGGGACACAAAGGCCCGTGCCACAGCTCCCTCAACTTTCACCTCAGCAGCCTCAACACAAATCTCATTTTAAGGAGCTCCATATACATTTTTCAGAATTAAAACCATGTTTTTACTTGCATGTCACTTCCCTTAAGGTGTTCTTTTTCTGTGGGAGTCTGAGGGATGTGCTGATGGGAATTCCTCCTGAGTTTTGTAACTGGTGGCTCTACCCTGTTGACGCAAGATCTTTAATCTATGCAAGTCTGTGAACAGTTCTGGGTAGGTGGGGCTAGCAAATGACATGGGAAATTGGAACCTGACATATTTGAGATACAGCTGTAATAAGTTGCTAAACTATAGTGCCTCTTCTTTTCCTGTGGAATGGATGGGATGTAAACCTACCTTGTGGGACAGCATGGGAAAAACTCCCCCACATGTGTACAAATCAGGCTCATTCATACTACAGTCCATTCAAGAAGGTTTTTTTATTGTGCTGCATATGCCTGAAGTCTCTGTGCATAATAAGACTATAGTTAGCTCCTAAGAAGGGACATCTGTATTGCTGATTCTAGAGATGAGCTGTCCTTTTTCCCACGTTTTAGTTATTGATGAACTGTGTAACTTAATCAGCAGTATTCTGTTGCTGGTAGATAGCTAATGGAAAGATAGATCAAAATATTCATGCAGGAACCATCTTCCTGCTCTTTTGGTTTGCCAGGCTTCCTGCTGTAGGTTGAGAAGAATTGTTGCTGAAGAAATCTTATCAAAGTAATCTGAATTGCAGAATAGAGAAATGTATTTGTTCTTGGGTAGATGAGTCCTTTATTAATGTAATCATTCTTTAAGCCCTTGGTCTCTGACCCCTCTATTCATGTCTGTGCCATCGCACCTGCTCTTGCCTTGCAATTTCGACAGCTGAATAGGAGAGTGTGTAGGTTTGAATGTGTTTGCACAAAGTTTAGTGATTGTTAAAAGTCTGATTTTTATCACACTATTTTATGACTTAACACTGGAATAAAATTATTTTCCTCTTGGCAAAATTTTAGTGGTGTGTATGTTGGCTTATTTCACAGCTTTATCTATTTTGTCTAAACCTTTATCTGTTTTATATAAACCAGTTACTTCTATCTGAATGCACTGAGAAGCTTAATGTTTTCCCACTGTGATGCTGCAGTGCCTTCCCCCCTTCAATAATCCTTTGTGTAAGGACTATAACAATTTACATTTTCCAGGTTCTGCTGTTTGTCTTTCACCACCAGCAAACCAAATCTTTCCAGTCCTCCCTCCATCCTTGTTTTCTTCCCTAGGGAAACAAAGTCGCTTAAATAGATGTCCTTATCTCAGAGGTGATAAGAGCTGAGCAGGGAGTGAGGGGAAGGACTTAGGCAAGGGTTGTTTCAATGGTTCCTTGGCAAGTAAGCAACTGCTTACTGGGATTGTTCTTTAGTTTTAGTCAATCCCACTGACTAAAATTTAAAAAGTGGCTTACACAATGAATTTAGCTCAGAGAAGTCCATTTGTGTCACTTACTACTGCTTTGTTGACACTTACACTGGTTGTTGACCATGTGTAGGATGTGCTGAGGCACAGTGCCCACACTGTGCTCCAGTGCTCCCTAGTCCATGGAAAAATCAAAAAATAATTCCCAGATCCTTGTTTCACCCTCTCAATGCTGTTTTCCCAGCATAGTCCTGAAGACCAGACCTGGCAGTTCTTGAAGATTTAGGCAGGATGTTTGTATTGATCTCTTGTGGTGAGACTGTGTCTACTCTGGGACATGCTCAAGGTGTGTGTCCACATGCTTGAGGAGCTGACAGTGATTGTGGAAGTATCCCAGGGCTGTGTGAGCAGCCTGTGTTTAAACACTGCTGCTTTTTTTAACCCTCTACCAAACTGTGCCCACAGACTGCCATTCTTAAATGTTGTACTGAGTGTCTTGCTCTTTCCAAGGTGCAGAAGTTTGGGAATGGGGAAGAAACAACCCTCTAGCCCGAAAGATTATCCTTTTTTTTCAGTAGAACGTGTGCCAGAGCAGCGTGAGGGATCACTGCAGCTCACAGCTTCAGCACAGGGTGACTCAGAGCAGAAGCAAACCTTACAATGTACTCACTTGTTGGGCTAATGCATTTCTTTGGGAACCAACCAAGAATGTGGCTGTTTTCAGCAGGGTTCAGGGATCTCCACAAGTCTTCCCAGTGCAAAGGCACAGAGGAGACCAGACAGCAGAGCAGGAGAGGGAAACCAGCTCCTGGGAGCACTGAGGGAAGCTCCTGAGCTGGGAGGCACAGGACAAGGTGTGCTGTGGGGTTGTGCCTGCAGGATTTGGGGTGCAGATTCCACAGAACAGAAGGAGGAACTCAAAACTCCAGTGTGAACAAAGGTTTTTTATTGTCCACCTTCTAAAACAAAGGACAGCAACATGCAGAGTGAGCAGGACCCATAAGCCCAAGTCTTTCTACAATTTAATCTATTTTTTTTTGTCCCAATTTTCATATTTCTGAAATCCTTCTAGCCTGCTGCAGTAGTTTCTCCACTGTGGATTTTCTTGGCTGTCTCCCTGCTTACAGTCATGTCCTACAATGACTTACAGGGTTGTTCTTAAAGTTATCAAGATTCCCCCCCCCCACCCCCCACCAAAATATTATGGAGGTGTCATAGTAAGTTTTTCAATAAAAATACTTCCAAGAAGCTGCCTTGTTCCTTTCCTACTGCTCCTGGTATCTTTTCCCCCATGCTGCTAAACTGAAGACAGATTTGGGGAAGCAAAGCACCCCAAAAAAACCCCTCACACGTCTCTCTCCCTCAGATTTAAGCACAGCACTGAGGTACTGGGGCTGTCACGGTGCTGCCAGGAGGTGATGGCTGATGTGCCTAAGCAAAGCACAGTTAAGCAGAGTTAGAGGGTGTGAACCCACTTCCCAGTACTCACCATGGGGGACTTCTAAAAGCTTGACAAGCACTACCGAGATATTTCTGGAGAAGGATAATCCTCTAAACTGGCCAGGAAGAAGACAGCCATGCACAGAGCCTTGTCTTCGAATGCCAGCTGCTCCCTGCAGCACTGGAGGGAGGGGAAGCAGATGGAGGAGATAGGCTCTGTGCTGGGGTTTTGCCCTGTCCACATGGCATCAGCGCGAGGAACAACCTCCCATGAAGATCTTGCTCCTTTCCAAAGGGGCCTGAAACACCCTTTCCCCTCCAGTGTGCCACCCTGCAGCTCGGAAAAGCAGCAGCTGAAACTACTCTGTGAGAAGTCTCTTTTTATTTTTTTTCCCTCCCCCTCAATGAAGACTCCAGCAGCTGAGCTCCAAGCATCAGCTTGGGCAGGGCATAGGGGCTTAGCAGGGCTTTAGGAGATACCTCGCACCTGGCTGAAGCAAGAACCCCCCTCAAGTGGGGGGAGCTTCCAAGTGTGCAGGGGTTGAATACTTCTGAACACACCCTGATGTTCATTAAGACATCCTCTATAGCTAAGAGCACTCACACAACACGATCCCATCAATGTTTCATAAGCTGTAAGCAGACCTAAAAGCCAAGAGTGTCACCATCCTTTGACCCCGGGTCAGCACCAGCCACCTCCGCTCCCTCTGGCCGGTGTCAGGCACCTAGGTGAAATATTTGGAGGCCCCTCTGGAAATCCTCTCTTCAGCAGCACTGGTGGCAAAGGACACCTCCTCATCCTCCTCATCCAGCTGGAGGCTGCCCGAGGAGAGCCGCACGCGGGCCATGGGTGAGCGCAGCACGCGGCCGTACAGGGAGCAGTAGTCGGCGGCCAGCAGGTCCGAGTCGGAGTCGCTGGACTCGGTGCTGCTGCCCAGGTAGCGCTCGGTGGAGCGCCGCGGCCCCGGAGCCAGCCCACGCTGGGCTGGGACGTGCCAGAAAACCCCCCCTTTGCGGCTGCTCAGGGCAGGGCACGGCCCCAGGGGCCTGAACTCGGAGCCGTAGGGGAAGCGGATGGTTTTCATGTCCGACTGGCTCCAAGACCGCTTGGGAGGCTGCTCCTGAAGGCCGTAATCGAAGGAGCGAGCCAGTGACCTGTTCTCCCCCGCCACGCTCATGCCCATGGCTGTGCCTGCAGCCTCACCGTGGAACTGCCCGGCCCGGGTCCCGCTCGGGCTCTGCCGGGGGGGTTTTGCTGCCACAGGGCCACTTGCACCAGCTGCTCCTGCTGTGTCCTCGCCCAGGGCCAGTGCAGGGCATGGGGACTGCAGTGCCCTGTCCAGACAGAGCACAGGGGGGGCCGGGGCCACCACGGGCAGGGGACAGGGCACATCCATGTACACCAGCTGCCGGGCGCTCACTTCCCGCATGTTGCCCACAGAGGTGCTTTTACTGTTCCCAGCAAACTGGTGGGGCCGAAAGGATGTCAAGGGATTCCTGGCTCCGAAGAGGTCGATGGGCTCCCAGGCCCGCTCCATCTCCAGCTCGGCATAGAGGAGGGGGAAGGCAGACGAGCTTTTGGAGTGGGGCAGGAAGGTGGGGGATGCTTCGGGCTTGGAGCGCTCCAGCTCGGCGGCGAACGTCACCTCCACGGTGGAGCTGCGGCGCCGGCTGTCCAGGGTGGGCTCGGAGCCGTGCACTCCGTTGGCATGGTACGAGCCCCGGCTGCCGTAGGCCAGGCGCAGCTCCTCCACCTGCGCAGGGCAGAGGGGTGGGTGCCAGGTGGGAAGGGAGCCCCCAGAGCTGAGCATCGGGCTTGGCCTCCAGCCGAGCTCCTCAGCTGGGGCAGCAATGCCAAGAGCCTGGCACAGAACTGCTGCTGGTGCCATGGGGACTTACCTGCTTTGATACATCCGTCAGGAGGTCTGGGGAGGAGCGGCACTGCCTCTCATCGTAGCGGGATGTGTAGTGTTTCCTGCAGAACGAGAGCACGTCTGTATGGCCAGGAGGGCCCAGTCCCCTCAGGCACCCCCTCCCTCCATGCCCTGGTACCTCTCGAAGGGCAGGCTCTTCATCTTGGCCTTCCTCCCGTGCTCCAGCAGCTGCCGCTGAGTCCTCCCACTGCAGCATGGAGGGAGAAATGTCAGCCGCACCATCAGCCCCAGCTCTGGGCAGGCCTTGTGCCCCATTTGAGGGGATGCAGCAGGGGGTCTTTCCAGGAGAAGTCACTGGATCACCCCCTTGGATTCAGACAGGGCTGACATAAAAGGGAGGCTCTGAGCCATCCCCAGGCCCTTCCCAGCCCCAGCAGTTTGTGTTTCCCCATGGGATTTACCTGTAGCGGAAGCTGGATCCTTTGCTGCACAGAAGGGCTTTGGGCTTTGACTTGGGCTCTTCAGAGAGTCTGAAGAAGGCGTGGTACTCCACACACGTCTTCCAGAAGGCCTTGCAGGTGTCCCGGCTGGCCATAGTGAACTCCAGCGTGTCCTTGCACAGTGCCTGTGTGCCAGAGACAGGACAGCCCGGGTCAGGAGCATGGGACAAGCTCTGCCATTTGCCCTCTGATCCCCCAAGGGTCATATGGGCTGTCAGTGGCTCCAGGCAGTGCTCTGTCACCTCACTGGGGACACAGGAGTAGCACATGTCGCCCTCAAGAAGGAGCACCATCATGAGCAGCAGGAATGGATTTACTCAAAACTGGGGACTTTGTGTGGCTGACCTTCCATCCACAGCTGTCTGCTCCCGAGCCCAGCAGCTGCCTGTGGCGTGGTACTTACAGAGATGTTTGCATGGAGCTTGATGAGAAAATGCTTCCTCTTGAAACTCAGTTTGCGAATTTTGGACCAGTTGAAGGTGTTGATCTTTGTATTGCCCTGCAAGGACAAACACAGCAATTACAGCTGGATAGGGCAACCTGTAAATACAGAATGCAGCGGGCCACAGCCTGAGCTCACAGGACACTGCACCAGACGCCAATGCAGCTCTTGGAGCTGCTGAGGTCTGGGGAAAGGGTGCTGGGTTTGGTGTTTGACTGCATCAGTTGGTTCTGCAAGTAGAAATTGAGGTTCAGGGCTTAACTCTGCCTGCTGAAGCTCTTTGCAAAAGTCCAGGTTCCCCAGACAAGCCTCAGAGAGGTTGAGGCAGGGAGTCCTATCTGTGCCAGCTCAAATATCATGTGAGTTAAGGCAGAATCAGTGCCCCAAAGAAATAATATTCTCCCCTCTTTTGCTGGGAAGTGTAGCAGTACTCAGCTCACCCCCACACCTTTAGACCGGGTTTAAGCAGGCTGGAAGCACACATTACTCTGTTATCATTTTTGCACAAGGAAAGATGCAGCCACATGGCAGAACCAGGAAAAATCGTGTTACTGCACTCTGTGGCACCAGAACCCTCTCAGCTTTCTGCGAGAGCCCAGATTTTAATGGGCTCACAGATGCCCTAATCATGAGTGAGGAGTGTTTATGGCTCTGAATAAATAACCAGGTCTGGCAGCACTAATTACCAACAGCAGACCCACAGCTAGGTTTTATGTTTGGGTTTGGCTTTTTTTTTGTTTTTTTTTTTGGTTTTTTTTGCTGTGACAAGATGTTCCCAGGTTGAAATCAGCGGGTGTGGGAGTGGAGCGCTGCTTCACGCTGGCTGAGAGCAAGTCTGTATTTACCGTGCAGCTCGGCCGTGATTACAGCGTTATGTAATTGCACAGACGTGGGGGGCTATTTTCGCTGGAAGATTACACGGTGAGCACATGTGACAGAGCCGTGGAACCTGTGCTGCTCACACGGCCACCACGCTCGTGGGACAAGGGCCAGCCGAGCTGGGGCACGTTCGGTGGCACTCAGGGCTGAATCCCACAGCATCCCCTTCATCCCCGCGGCCTGTGAACACACGCCTGAGCAGGATTTGGGAGAGTTTGGGGCGCTCAAAGGGAGGAGGGTCACCTCCAGCTGCAGAGGCCATCCCCGAGCCCCGGGCTCACCCGCAGCACCAGCACGCCCATGTGTGTCACGGCCAGGTTGATCTGTGTCCCCTCGCCGTCGCTGGCGGGGTGCGGGCGGATCCCGTACATCTCCAGCCTCCTGGCCACGTCCAGCAGCTGGGCGTCCGACTCGGCCGGCGTCTTCCCCCTGCAGACACAAACACGCAGGGAGAGACAGGAGCGAGAGGGGAGATGCCGAAATGGGATTGGAAAAAAGCCGTTTTGCAGGTGCACAGGCTGGCGTCACAGCCACCCCGCCGCCGCCCTGCCCGGGATGGGAACACCGCGTCGGCAGAGCTCCATCGGGGAGCGAGGCGCGCAGCCCGTACCTGTGCCTGCGGTGGTAGTGCAGGATCTTGTTGTCCAGGTACTCCTGGTTGGGCAGGTACCTGTGCGTGGCCAGGTGCTGCTGGTCTGTCTCCTCGTGGAAGTCGCCCAGCTCGGCTTTGGGACACGGGAGAGCAGGGGTTAGGTGTGAGGGGGCCAGGGGGAGCCCTGGCTGCTCAGCCAAAGCCCGTCCGTGCGGGGATGGGCGCTGGCCCCGCGGGCTCGCTTGCCCTTACACTGCAGCAGGTGCGAGACGAGCAGCGCCGCGCTCTTGTCGCTGCAGGGCAGCCGCCCCTGTGCCAGGTCCTTCTTGATCTGCAGGGTGAAGAGGTACCTGTGCCGGGGACAGGAGCATGTCCTGGGGGGAGCTGGGCTGAGCCCTCAGGCCCGTGCTGCTCCCATCTCTCATCCCAAGGATGCCCATCCACAGGGTCACAGGATGAGCGCGCAGCCCCTGCAGAAGGCTGCAGCTGGGCACCAGTATGACCAGTACATCCCTGTCATTGGAATGTTCATTAGGAGATTTCAAAATTAACATTCCTTTCTGTTTTGGAGGGCATTTGCCTCTCTTGAGCATGACTTGGGCATTTGCCTCTCTTGAAGCACTGTCTTGGTATTGTTCTTAGTCACCGTTTGCAATGCTTTCTCTAAAATTGTAAAAGCTAACAATGTCATTTTTAAAAATAAAACTAAAGTTGTTCTCTCAGAATGCTGCTTGAGGCAGGAGCTAGACTGAGCAGTCAGACTCTGTGCCCAACTGCTAAAGTGTTTGGCAGTAAACAAATTGCAGCCTTGTAAGACAGCTGATCCTTCAAGTGGATTGTGTTTAAAAACAGAGGATCAAGAAAATATATTCTCTGGTTTTGTTCTGTAAAGCGTAATACTTAGGATACTTAGGATAACCGCTGCACACAGACAGGCTGGGGTGGATGAAGATAAAGAATTAACACACTGCAAAAACACAGCACTGTGTGGCAAGAAAGTAATAAAACAAGCACTGTACCTGGTCAGTTCTTCTCTCAGGTGGCCGGGGTCCACTGGGAAAAATTTCACCATAAATTTGAAAAGAACCTCCTTAGGATCTTAAAACACAACATCTTCATAAGTTTTCTTTTACATGTCTATTGAGAACATTTACAACTCTCTTCACACATGCTGCCTCCTTACAGAGTAAATTATCTGCACCCTTACAAATCAGGGACTACAGCCTACTTCCCCAAACCAGCCTACCCAGGCCCCCGATATTGCCAATATTCTCCCAAATATCCAAATAGAGATTTGGATATCTAAAGAATATGAAAGAGAAAAATGTCCCAGAAATTCTTTAAACTGCAAAAATCCCCGTTGGAGGGATGTCACACTACTACACGAAATAACTCACACATGGACACTAGATGCAAAAGAAGGAAAAAAAGAACTAAAAGAGAGGATTTTATTTTCTGACTCCACTATATATAAAATAGCAAAAGTGACAGTGGATTGGAGGGTAAAATTGCCACTTCTCCAACTACACTAGTCAAACCAACAGTCCATCAATTCCACCCACAAAGAAAAATACAAAACAATCATTATTTACATGAACAGTGTGAGAAAATTCAGTAGAAATATGTAAACATCAGAAGGCATAAAAAACTTTTAGAACTTTAAAACTGTCAAAAGAACAGGGTGACAGAGGGGGATTCCATGAAATGGTGCCAGGGAGCATGGCCAGAGCCTTGGTGTAATTGGCATCGCTGGGGCTGTGTTAAACTCAGCCCTCCAAGCACTTGGGATACAACAACTCCATAGGAGGCTTCTTGGGCAAAAGCTTTTTTGTGGGATGAGTGAGAACAAGCAGCTAAGCCCAAGGCAGAATGTGTGGAGGGAGGGAAGCAATTAGGTGAGCACTGATTGTCACAGAACACCCTGGGATGGCTCAGAGGACAGGCCAGAAGGCACTTGGTAAAGGAAATAGGTGCCTGCAACAATTCAATTTGAGGTGCACCCAGAAAGGGAAGGCTCCTTATCAGGCTTTCCTCTTTCAGGGAAATTCATGCAAACACCATTCTGCAGCCTCCCCATGGCAAAGACTGGGGTCATGGCCCCAGGCTCTCAGTCACCTCCCTGTACTTGGGGGAAATATTCTGGGATAGAAAGGCCTGTGCTGAAAGCAGCACTGTGTTAACACCAGTCATGGCCAGGCAGAGGAGGTGGGCCTGAATTCAGGTCAGGCTCTGCAGCATCTCCGTGGGGCTGGCGAGGAGTTGCAGGGTCTGTGGGGCAGAGGGGGGACCCTGCCTCACACAGGTGCCTGGGCCACTCTGAGCTGCAAAGGGAAAAGGAGGGCACGCAGGAGCAGTGCCTGTCCCACTGCCAGCACGGCCACTCAGCCACCCCTGCTACCCTGCCAAGCTGTCAGATTATTAACAGCTCCAGCCTAAAATGGTGCAGATACCAGATTGCAAAAGCAGTGGTATTTCCATGGGATTTTGTATGGATTGAGGTGTCCTTGCAAACAATCCTGCCCAGCCACACCCTCTAAAATGAGCCTGGTTAAGTGCTGGAAGCCAGAGATCCTGTCCCCCAGCAACAGCACTGCATGAATGTGTCTGTGCTAGACTGTCACTGGTAATGATTTATAACAATTCTATTCTTGAAATACTTACTTTTGACTTGCTTCGTTATGGGTTTTAGTGGTTCCAACCAGACCTGAAATAAGGCAAAGAAGAGCTGGGTAAATAAACAGCACAAGAGATGGGGAATAAAAGCAGCAACAGCATGGTAGAATGCAGCATGAAAATGTTGACCAGCTTGGCTGCTGTGACAAGTGTCCTGCTGGGCAGTGCCACACGGATGGCTATGGATAGACCATGAGCTGTAGATAGCACTGGGGCTTGTGGCTCCCCTCCCAACTCCAATTTTCAGGGTTTTTCTGCCATCATGGCAAAACTTTCTATTTAATTTTCTGTTTGGAATTTCCAGGAAGTGCTAACAATCCTCAGCCATGCAGGCAATGGCAGCTCCAGGGGCTGCACTCACCTGGTTCCCAGCCTGGCTGTGAAACTCCAGCCCAAAGTACTCCTTCTCCACAAGGTTGAGGTGGCTGCAGGTGAGGTTGAAGAGCCCTTTCCCACAGGATTTTTGCTAGCAAACAAACACAGCACAGAGGCAGCAGGTTAGGCAATGCTGACAGTAGCATGATGGGATTTCAGAGAGGTGGGGAGAATTTCAGCTCCCTCCCTTCACCCCTTTCCTGACCACGTGTGGCTGCAGCTCTCTGGCCACAGAGAGCAGGCACAGACTTTCCCAGGCATTGTCCTGGGGAAGGCTGGGAGAAGATCAGAGAAAAGAATTATAAACAATCCTTATCTTCACTTGCTGCACTGCTGTTGTGAACATGTGGAATGTGTTATGGAACTTTTTTACCAAAGGGTGGTTTCTTAAATTGACCAATGGTGATGGTGTTTGGATTCAAGGCCCAATTGCGTCCACCTGTATCGTGACTGTCTGTAAGGGTGATGGGTTTCTTAATAAGTATAGAATAATAGTGATTGATCAGCTTCCTGAGAATCATGGAGTCAATGCTAATTATTACCTGGCTGGGGCCTGCAGTGACAACCATGCTGCAGCAGAACCTTACTCAATAAATGCTGTTGGCCTCAGCATGTACAACAGGACAACTGCATGCTGTGCTCCCAGCTTTTGGAAATCAGATTCCTTCCCATCACTTCTCTCCCTTACTAAGAAACATAAACCAGAAAGGAGAGCATGAGAAAATAAACCATGTTTTGATTCACTGTTTGCAACTATCACTGTCTGGGCAGTTCTGTCCCTGGCAAGCCAGTGAGTGATCCCCAGGATGGGCAGGGACAGCCATGGCAAACGTGTTCATTAAGAGCCAACGGGAGCAGGCCTCAAACCTGTGCAGTGAGTCCCTGTGTCCCAACAGCTGGGGATGAGCTGCTATTATGCTTAATGGTAATTAACAGCAACAGGATCCTGTGCTGTGGGCTCTGAGTCATCTCTGGGCTTTAGCAATATGAATTAAGTGGTGCTACAATGCTGATAAGGGAGGCCAGGCTGTAGTTATTCCCAGTAAACAGAAACACTTGGAGGGTGTTTTCTTGACTTGTTGCCATGCTGTATGATCTGGCTGGAGAACAAACCAGGAGGCTCTGACTCTGGAAAATGCTGCACAAAGCACCAGAAATTAAAATGGCAGTGACCCACCCCAACAAAACCCTGATACGCCTTCATCAGCTTGTGAAAAGCAGACCAAAAAGAAGTAATGGTTATTGCAAAAGCAGGCTGGAGCAGAGAGGCCAGGTTAGACAGCTGCTAAATTATCACATGTTGGGTGATGGAGGGAAAGACAGGCTGCAGCTCCCTGTGGCAGTGGCTGTCCCCAGCAGGGATGGGAGGGACCTGGCTGCTGGTGGTGATGCACTCTAATAACCACCTTTCAGGGCTTCTCCTGGGATGAAATTGCTGGCTCTGTGCTGAAAGGCTGCAGAAAAGTGATAGCATAATAACAGCATTTGCTCTGCAGCACTCCCAGTTCTCCTCAAAATTACTGGATCACAAGGGTAATTAAAAAAAATTATAAATGTTTTTTCCCAAGCTAGAATTTTCTAGCATGAAAGGCCTTGGCCTTTGTCAGGCAGCCAGGAAAGACAAGCATTTCTTACTGGGTTATTACCTACCATATGTCTGCTGGCATCAACCCACTCTGCTCCAAGCCAGCACTGCCCAGGGCAGGGACAGGAGCAGCCCCAAACCCAGGAAAACCTGCTCACTGGGAGACACAGCCCTGCTGCTGCAGGGGATGCTTTAGAAGCAGAGCCCTTCTCTTGCAGAGTGGTGCTTGCAGGTGTCCTGTCCTGGATTTTGGGGTGCTAAGGCCAGTGCTTCCTCAAGCACTGGGGTACAGTTTTGCTCAGCAGCATCAGCCCTGCACTGCACCAAGTGAGAGAAGAGGGGTCTGTGCTGGAGGAGCACAGGGCAAGGCACAGGCATGACATGTGGGGCTGTTTGTCCCATGTCCCAGCCTCTGGGTGCCTCTGGGAATGATGCAGGGCCAGGTGAGCGCCCACAGGCAAAAACCCCAGAGCAGAAGGTGAAAAGGAGAGAGGCTGGACTTGCCCTTCACTCCTCAGTGAAAGCATCTGGGACTGGGAGCAGAACCAGAAAGCCAGAGGCACTTGCAGAGGCAGACAGCAACGCATGCAGCACACGGGACACCCACATGCCCATGTCCCCAAAGGGACTCTGGCAGCCCAATGGCAAAGCCCAGCTCTGCAGCACTCCCACAGGACAGGCTGCTACACCCAGATCCTTGGTTTAGGGGTGAGCAACAGCTCATGGGATTTGCTGTGATCTTCTCCCACCACCTTGGGAGATGCCTGCCCTATCAGGTGTGCTGCAGCCAGCACAGAGTGTCAGGCACCAAAAGCCACCAGCCTCCCTGTGCCCTCGCTCCTCGGCCACCCGGCAAGGAATTACCAGCTTTACAAGGGACACACGACCACAGCACTCTGTTCTTCACTCAGCCTCAGCAGCTGGTTTTTCTGGGCTTTTTGGTTTGCTCAGCAGCATCCCAGGCCCAGCCATGAGGTGCTCAGCAGGGAGGGCACAGTGGGCACATTCAGAGATGTGCCAAGCCCGTCCCTCCCCTTCCCTGAGGGCTCAGACCTGTTATGCCAGGAACCACCTCCAGTGCCCAGCTGAAGGAAATCCTGGGAACTCAGTGGTCCCAGCTGTCAGCAAGGAGGCAGAAACCTTCCTGGGTCAGCATCCAGCACCAGGAGAGGAACTGGTTCTCATGCAAAGCAGCCTGGAAAGGAGACCTTGCTGCACACACCAGCAGCTGTGACACCCACGTGAGGCAGGTAGAGATGTTTACCCTGAGCAGGAGGGGCAGGGGGAGCCAGGCCCTCTGTGTTTTCTTTCTTTTGTCCTCTTCCCTCCCATTATACTGAAGTACTCCCCATTCAAAAGAGCTTTCCAAAGTCAGAAAGGGTTTAGGAAGAGTTGCTTAAAATATCTGCTCAAAACTTAGCCCAAAGCACTCCTTTTATACTGGAGAAGTCACTAATTCAGCTACTCTTTTATTGTACCCACACAGCAGCAGCAAATGCATGAAATGCCTAAAAGGGGTTTCCAATACCATTCCGTGCTAAAAAAGGGAATGACCAGGAGTTCCTCTAATGGAAGCTATTTGCTGCAATAACATGTCGTGCAGAGCTATAGTGCTGTTTTTTGAGCAAATAAGAAAACAGAGATGGAAAAAAAATGCAGCAACATTGTAGCAGAAGCATCTTCTGAATTGTGTCTCACTATAACCTGATCTAATCAATGGGGGAAGGAGGGGAAGGCATTTTAAAATGACCAGTCTCATTTTCAAACTGACTCCTAGACTAGGGCAGATTAATTAAACTGAATCAAACAATTTCCATACTGTATCAAGGGATGGAATTGCCTTATAATCCTCTTTTGTGAAAAATACTGTCACAAAGAAATGGAGCTGTGCATCTGAGAGCAGCTCTCAAGCTGTGCTATAAACCACAGAAGAGGACAGTAGAAGAAAAGCAATAGAACTAGGAAAAAAACCACTTTATATTAAACACTCTGCTCCCACAGGAGATGCAGGTAAGTACTAGAACAAATCTACATTAATTAGCTAATTCAATTAGCTACTGTGATTATCAAACTCTAACCAACAGTAAATGTGCAATCACACTTGTAAAAAGATGCTTCTAACACACAGTCAAGACAAACCTACCTTCAGTTATCTGTACACATATGCATAAATCTAACACCATAGATATTAATACTTAACATTTTAAACCTAGTTCAGATCTACCATTTGTTAAATGTGAAGTATTAATCACAATGTGCTGTGGGACACTGCCATGCAAAAAATAAGATAGAGTGTATTTTTTTCCTCAGCTATTCAGAAAACCACACAGATTTTTTTTTTTTTCAACTGAATGCCCAGGAGAAGATATGTGCAGATGTTTCTCAACAGGGATAACTTGGACAAATATGCTATTTTTATTCTGTTCCCAGATTTTACTTCCTTGCTGAATGTTTACACTGGCAGCCAGACAAACGAGAGAACTTGACAATTGTCAAGAGCATCACTTAGTATTAACTGATTTACTAAAGATCACATTGGGTAAGTAAAAGCCATTCCTCCTTCTTCATAAATAATGCCAATAACAGGAAAGCATAGGAGTGTGTTGATACCAAAAAACACCTATACCAATTAGCACTAGAAAGCTTAATTGTAAATTTGAGATTAGTTTTCTTGTTTGTTTGCTGGCTGGGTTTTTTTTTTTAAAGCTTTAAACAATAAGCTATCAGAGACCATGCAACAATTCAGAGCAGCAATGACTTAATAATTAACACCAAAAAATCAGTAAGAATATGATACCCACTTACATCAACTACAAAGATCTTCTGGGAATCATCCAGGAACTGGACTTTCAGGTGCAGCATCCTCGGGCACGCAGCTGGGTGTGCAGCAGACACGGCAGTGCTAGCAGTGTGAGCCAGGAGCTGGGAAGGGAGCCCTGACTCCTCTTGCACACATAATTCCCTCTCAGCTGGATGGAGAAGGCTGCACTCACTGATGTGGAGCAGAGGCTGGAGCAAACGAGCTGACTGCCTAAAAACTAATTTAAAAAAACCAAAAAACCAAACAAACCAACACCTCCCTTGGTTTAAATGTCACCACTGCAATAAAAGATGTTTTCTGCCTGTGAATTATGGGTGTATCAATAGGAGGAAGATTGGCAGTAATGGGGCTGAGATAAATAAATACTCAGCTCTTCCAGCTGGTGGTGAGCAATGTGAGGGCAAAGCAAGCCATGGTTGGTGCCACAGGGTCAGGGGAGAAGAGCTGAGCATCTCTTCTGCCAAAGTCACCCTGCAGTGAGTGTCACCCCTGCTCTGCTCTGGTTAAGGGAGAGCAGCTGGCTGGCAGCTGTGCTGGCTCCATGGGATGGGCAGATCGTGTCCTGTCCACTGAGTGATGTGTGGATGGGCTGATGTACCTCACCAGAGACTGGAAAATGTTTCCAACTGGACTCAAACCAGTTGCGAGTGTCCTTCCTGGAGAGGCAGAGGAGAACCTGCCCCTAATTCCCACTCACACCGTGGTTGAGTAGCTTAATGAAGTCTCACAAGCCTTTGAGACAAGCTGGTTCCCAGCTCAAACCTGAGAAGCCCACGTCCCCACTCCCCAGCTCATCCTGGCAGTGCCAGAGCCCCGGGCTCAGCCCAGGCTGCTGGTGCAGCCCTGCTCGCTGTGCTGGGTGCCTGGGGGTGCTTGTGCTGCTCCTCTGCCCCAGGTGCTGAGGGCCATGAGGAGTTCTCTGACCCCTCTGGTTCCTCTCACCCATCAGACACCACCTCACTGAGCTTTTGGTGAAAGCAGCCTTTGGCCAGGAGCCCCCACTTTCAGAAATAAATGCACTGAGCAGCGCCAAAGGCAGGCTCTGGACTGGCATAGGGAATTGTTATTGCTGCTGCTGGAAAGTCACAACCACACACGATCCTGGGGGACCCAGAGTGATAGAAACAAACAAAAAAACAGCAACAAAAACCCACAGCAAATAAAAAACCCCACATTTAGTGCTGCAGAGATTTTGCTTGGTGCTCTCTTGCCTATTTTTATTGAAACTTTCACTGTAAGTCACTTCACTCCATTTGCTATGGCCTCTCTTACACTTCCCAAACATTCCTGAGGAAGTCAAGACAGAGGCTATCAGGGCAACATACCTTGTCATCTCTGGTTCAGAGAGAAAGACCATAAAGCTTTTTATCCACAGAAAAAAACATAAGTCTTCTGCTAACCAAGACAAAAAGGAGCCTGAAAATCAAAGCCAACCTGCTTTTCCCTATGAAGCTGCTCCACAAATCAGCTGAGCCCATTGTGATGCACAGCCAGGAGGGGATGGCCATGCCCCCTGTGCCAGCACCACGTCAAGGACCAAAATTTGCAGATCTGCACGTGGCCCTGGGCTCTGAGATCTTTGTGTCACAGGACAAGGGCAGCATCACGTACAAACCATCCGGGGGGGCTGAGTGCACTTTCCTCTGCAGCTGAAAGTGTTTGTGCTGTCAGATACCGACAGGCACCAAGGAGAGGAGCAGCTCTCCTGTGAATGCCTCTCCTGTCACAGGCACAACTCTGCACTGGGAGCACGGCGGGGACGCTGGGCTGGCAGGAGGGATGTATGGGGGTGCAATAGAGGAGCCCCCAAAGCCCAGAAGAAGCCAAGTCTCTTTGCTGCAGGCTTTCCTGGCATGCCAGGGCACTGACCCTGGACTCCACAGATGCTGGTGGAAGCTGGGCACTGGCCAGTCGGGCTGTGGGCAGAAGGACATGGTTTATTTCACAACCTTGCTATGAAGGAATAAGGCTGTTTTGGGTCAGACAGGACCTCTGGCCATGCTATCAAAGCTATCATCCTATCAGAACTATCCATGGATACAGCATGGAGCCAGCAGCAGCAGCAAACAGGATCAAGCTACATTAACAAGAGCTTTTTGGGATAAGATACTGAAGGACAGCAAGAAGAGATATGGGACAAGCAAGGTTTGCTTGGGGCATGAAGATTGCTGCTGTCTGAGCAGATGAGGAACCTCTTTTATCCCCACCTATCTCCCTCTGGAGGTGACTTGGGAGCCAGCCGGAGCAGCACACAAGGGGAACACCAGGAGCAATTCAAGCTCCTGGCCTGAGCCAGTGCCAAAGTCCAGTCTGGTATGTATGTCCTCCCTATCTGCAGGGGCAGGGAAAAATGAAAATGGCACAGGAAAGCACAGAACCTGTGAAGGGCAAGCACAGCCCTAGTGGCAGGTGGGGAGGGGACCCCAGGCAGCAGCACCAGAGCACAGTGGGACCTGAGCAGCAGCATGGTGGAGTGAGTTCTGCTTCAGGGCTCCTTGCTCAGCCAGCTCAGCCCTTGATTTCAAATACTCTGGACCTCACTACCACCATCCCGCATTGCACCAAGAAGGACTTTCTTCCACCAAGTGCATCTAACAATGCATATTAGGCTGGATGCATTGTCTCAGGATCTTCTTCAGCCTCTCAAATACCCTGCAGCTTGCTGGGATGGACTGAGCAGAGCAAGAAACAAGAAGTTTCCTTCCTCCCAGACCCAGTTGCTGCTTTTTCCAAGGAGAATGCTCACATCCATGTTCGGGTGTTTCTCCTTTGTTCCCTGTCGGTGTTGGAGCAAGGACAGAGACAGGGCAGAGAGCTGAGCAATGCAGCTACACCCTGCAGAGCCTCCTGGAAGGGTGAGCCATTGTCACTGGGCAGTAAACCAGCCAGTTCAGAGCTGCTGTCCTGGTTTGGGGCTGGGGATGGGCAAGGAAATGTCCCAAACCTCCCCACTGCCTCCTCAGAGAGCAGCAGGCTGTGAGAGAACAAACCCTGGACACAACATGCTACCCCTGCATCACTGTGCATTGCTGTCCCTTAGGTTTTGTCATGTTTATCTTCACATTTGGTTTAGAGGAAAGGAAATGAAGATGTATAGAGAAAAATCACTGAATAATCTGCCAGGGGATTTTAAACACCACAGTCCAAGAGGCAAGAACCCACACCCAGCTCGCTGCTGAGCAGACAGAAACGAACACTTGAAATGCCAGACAGGACTCACCCAGGTGGACTTTGGTCAGCTGTGACCTTTCATACACTCACATTTCACCTCCCCTTCCTCAGCTGGAGCTGCAAGGACAACATCCACGTTCCCTCCTCACCCAGCCATAACTGCCCCAGCTGCAGGGCCAGGGAGCAACTCTTGGCTGCATTACTGAGAGCAGACTCTGGCACAGCCAAAATCCTTCTGAACAGCTCCAGGCCCACAACAGGCTACCCCAGTGGTTAAAGGATCCAAGGATGGCACCAGCACTGTAAGCAGGGACATTTATTTCCAGAATAGGGTACCTACCACATTCCTGGTGCCCCTTCCAGGAGGAATGGCTTCACTCTCAGCTGGGGTCCCAGCTTATACACAATTGCTTTAAAATTTTTATAAAATGTACCCCCTAAAAACTATTTTCAAAAAAGAAAGCCTGAAAAAATTGAGTTTGTTAACTTAGAAGAAAGGAACAACATTCACCTGATTGATGCAGAGCCACTCCAGAATGGATCAGCTGCGTTCCCAAGCTAAAGAGAAAATGAAGAGTTTGCTAGAAACTGCAGAGAAGATCTGAGTTAGGTCCTAGGAAAGACCCTTAAATTGTGAGGCAGAAGGAACACTGGAGCAGGCTGAAAAAAACAGAGTTGATTTACACACACCTGCAGGGGACAGTCCAGGTCCTTTAAACCTTTAACAGTGATCATTGTTTTACATTTTCTCCACATTATATCTTGAACATATCTCAATGCTTAGATCTGACTTGCCATGTCCTGCCCTTCTAAAAACTTCTACCTCAAAACTGTTTTTATTGAATATAATAAATAATGATACATTTACATTTTCATCAAATTGTGCTTACCATCAGCTAAATAATCTGACATCAGTGTCCTGAAACTCATTACTCATAAGTAATCGCTTGGAAAAGGGAAATAATTGCATTCTTAATTTTGTGTTTAGGTGGGGTTCACCCATTGCCTTCCAACTGCAGGATAAGAGTTCTCTGAACAGCATTTTGATATCAGAAGGTGACATTGTGCAGCAGCATTTTGCCCCAGTCCCACCCAAGGCAAAATTATTGCATAATCTCAAGGAATCACAGAATTAAAGCAAATCTTATTCTTGTGATTATATTTTTATTTCAGCTTCAGCAGCTAAGGTAAGTGGCTCTTTTTACCCACCTGCAATAACAGAGTAGGAAATCCCAAATAACCTCGATTACGCACGAAAGACTCCACGCACAACTGCAATTCCAGACACCTGAGAAAATTAACCCTAGGTGCAGAACATTCTTTGGAGTCCCGAAGCCCTGAAACATAAATTTATTTCCATTTCTGCTCCGCACCATGCCAGGACAAGGCACTCGCTGCCTCCACGCTCCCTCTCGTGGTGCTGCTGGTGCCCCACAGCAAACACCGAGAGGATCGGTGTGCAGGGATGAGCAGGACACTCCAGCAATCACCCATGGGCACTGCTGACTTTTCCTCCTTTTTCAGATTTTATATGCTATGTAAAAACTATTACCAGGACTGCAGGAGGCAGCTTGCTGTAAGCAAATACAAATAACAGCACGAACTGTACAATGAACTAAATACTGCCCTGACTCTGGTGATATCCAGACCACTTTATATCATTTTTGATATGCCAGTTGCACTGTGTTGTTGGCACAGCTACATAAAAAGCACTCTGATGTTTAATTCAAACAGGTCACTTCAATGACATGAGAAAGCAATTTATGCAGCAAGGGAAAGCCTCTTAAAAGTATTGAATCAAAGGAGCACTGATGCCTCCAAGAACTTGGGCACTGCACAGCATTCAGTGATTTCCAGCTGGGGAGAGGCACCTCGCCACTCCTGTGCAGCAGTGCAC